TTCAAGGGAATGAATGGGGCTCCAACAGATGGCACAGGAACCAGACCTCAATGATCCCACCTATGTGGCATACAAGTTCAAAGCCACCAGTGGCCAGCTCAGAGCCCTGGGCCAAAAGAAGCTACAATTGAAGCACAAAGAGGAGACCCTGCACAAGCAAGTGGCCCAAGTCGTGGAAGCCAAGGAAACGCTCTTGGCAAAGCTCCAAACATGCCATCAAGAGATGGAGGAATCTCACAGCACTATGCCCACGTTGTTCTCCAGCCCAGGCTGCTGGACACAACAATGGATGCTCTCCAAGACAACCCAGACATCCAGACAGGGAGCCCAAAGATCCAGAGCCACATGGAGACATTCCAAGGCTTGCTGGCAGGGAGAATCACCACCGATGATGACAAGCAACGACTCCTCCATACCATTGGTCAAGATCTTGGAAGATGCAGGACAGAAAAAGAGGAACACACAGGCCTTGGCGCACACACAGAGCCCCTCAACCCCGACGCTTACATGGAGCAAGGCGCCGGGTTCACAGGGTAGCCCTGCAGGGCACCCACCCCTCCCTGCACCATGCAACGCACAGCAAGCTCAGGCAAAGGAGCTTCAGATATACTTTGCCAACATCACCAGGCGGAGTGAAGAAGCACAGCAGCACATCTGGGCACTGGCCAGCAACAGTCAAAATCTGTGGCATAGCAGAGCACCACATGGCGCCCCACCAATGGCAGCACTATAAGGCTGGCTGGGTTAACCACCAATGGCAGCCATACATACAGGAAGCACACCTTCTGGACACTGGAGGCACCTCAGGTGGAGTCTCCCTGGCTTACCGAAGAGGCATAGCATCAGAAGCTCTTCCTGGCAGTTTTGACCACAGATGGACAGCCACCAGATTCAGTTGACATGGTAGGGAAAAGCCCCCAGTATGTGCCAAAAACCTTAGCCAAAGTCTTGGCCCAGCTTGGCAAGACATGAATCTCATCCTCAGCAAAAACAAGTCAGGCTTTCTTGTCAGCTCCAATGAACTAAAGAAAGCGCTCCCCAGCTGTGACTCCACCGGAGGACGACTTAGAAGACTTCCCACTCAGAAAGCCAGATTTCAAAAAGGCAAGAGAAGACTGGCTAGACTCAGGGCACTCCCCAAAAGGCATGGCAATTCACCTACACCAACATAACGCCAGCAGTCAAATTTGGGCATCAAACCATGGGCTATAGCAAGGCCCAAGCCCAAACGCTCAGGATCAGAACAGTGTTCATGGAATCTCCATACCCACCGAGCATTTCCTGATGGTCTTCAAGTTTTTGCAAAAGAAAAGCAACATTCAGCTCAAAATGTGCAACCAGGTGTGGCAATCCCTAGCCAAGGAGCTATGCAGCAAACCCAACCACTGGGGGCTAGTCAAAGGACCCCTCGCAGTTTGCATTGCATACCTCAAGGACAACCAATGGCAGGCTCCAAACATGCACATGTGGACTGCCCCAGATGGTATTGAATCGGCTCCAGATTTCACAGACCCGGACCTTCCCTGGGAATTCACAGAACAGTTTCAGAATTTCACAGAAGCAGCAGGATGGGCCCACTCAGCCCAAAGACCAGGCAGCCAAGGTCTAGCCACAGAGGAGACCTCACCGTAGGCACCCACATCTAGAAAAGACAGATCCCACAGCGATTCCCACCCTGGACATGGTCTTGCAAGGAGCGCTCTTCAACCACGCCTGGCTTGGGTTAGAAAGCCCATGCCCGCTCTGCAATCACCCACAAGATACATTGCGCCACGGACTGTGGCAATGTCCAGAGAGGTCCTCAAACAACACCCAATCCCACCAGTCTGGGGAAACCACCTGGAGAACAACAGCTACCATCCCAATGTACGCAGTTGAAGGGGCAGGCGCAGAACAAGTAACAGGGACAGGCCTCTGGGAACAGATGAAGCCCATTCCCACCACCAACCTGGTCTTTGGCGCGGATGGGTCAGGCGGACCCGCTTCCAAAGACAAAAGGCTGAGGCAATGCAGCTTTGCAGTTGTTGCTCTTGACAAAGACACCCGCCAAGTTGTTGCCACACACAGGCAGCATTCAGGGATCACAAACAGTGCCCCGGGCAGAAGCAGCAGCCCTCTTGTGGCTCATCAAATTTACCGCGGGCCCGCTGGAAAGCAGCATAGATGCCCAAGCTGTGCTTAAAAGGTGGAAGAAGCTTCCCCAGCCAAAGGCAACCAGCAACATGGACCTGTGGGGGCCCATCACCAAACTCAACAATTCCAGCGGAGCAATCCAGACCTTCCCACATGGATCTGGTACAACTTAGCAAACAAAATGGCGGAGTGGATTGATGGCAGTCAATACAACATCCAGCAAAGACTAATTAAGGTTGTCAAGTTCTGGCTTGGGAAGAAGGAGGAGGTCCCAGGTTTGGCCAAGCCCCTCAAACCGCTCAGCTGTCCCAAGCTCCCCACTGGTGGTGGAACAACACTAAGGCCAGCAAAGTGGCGCAAGCCCAATGCCACACACAGGGCAACGACTTCCCAACAGTCCATCCTAGCCATGACTTATGGTGGACAGGCGCCAGGCACAAATGCAAGCGCTGCAGAAAGCAAGCTTCAACCGGGCAGTTGGTTCTCAAAGAATCCTGGTCTCAACCCTGCGAAAGGCAGAAAAGGAAGAACACCTTCTGAGCCAAGGATGCAAGAAGAACACCTTCTGAGCAAATGCGCAAATGATGCAAGAAGAACACCTTCTGAGCAAAGGATGCTTAGTGATGTAGAAGAAAAATTGCTATTGCCGGTGCTACTGCTAAGCTTACTCCTGCTACCGCCACAGCTGCCACTATTACTACTACTACTACTACTCCTACTACTACTACTACTACTACTGCTATGACTACGGCGGCGACGGCGACGACGACGACGACGGCAGCGACTGCCACGGCTACTGCTACGGCTACGGCCACTGCTACGGCTACGGCTACTTCTGCTGCTGCTACTACTGCTGCTTCTGCCGCTAGGACGACGACTTCTACGACGGCGACGACGACAAGACTGCTACCCCTGCTGCTAGTATTGCTTTACTGCGGCTGCTTGTTCAAACTTTGATTTCTATTTGACCCTCGCTTGTCGTTTGCCCTTTTGACAACATCGCTAGTTTGCTGCATGCACTGCGCGGGATTCTCTGTCATGAGAATAGCAGGATTCACTTTAAAAAGGATGTCAGAACACATTTCAGAACATTTCCCAGCTTTTATGCTGGATGGTGTGCCAGAACACCTCGCCATTGAACATGTTCTTGGTTGCAGTGGTTTGGGTGGAAACGTTCTTTGTTTTCTTCCCGTCTGAACACACTCTACCTTACAGCCCGCCTTTGCTGGCCAGTCAGGCGTTTACATATTTTGCAGTGCTCAATGTGTTGACTGCGGTATTTTGTCAGTCAGCTATAGATGGTGCGCAAAATGACCATGCTTCTAAAGTGCATGCGGTGCTTGCGAACAAGGAGGCGCACTTGGAAAAAATCCATGACCTTTTCAGCAAATTTGGTGCAGATGACGGCGTCATCACATTCAGCATGTTTCAGAAGAAAATAAACTCTCCAGAAGTGCGTGCGTTGGCAAGAATTAGTTGCGCGTTTTGTTGGGGGTGGTTGTTGCTTCCCTCGTTTGGTGGGAGCGGGGAAGGGCTGCCGAATTGTTGAGTGGTGTGCCGGCCGAGGTGAATATTTTCAGACTTTGGGTCTTGATGTGTGGGATGCCTGGACTTTCTTCAAGCTTCTGGACAAAGACAATGGCGGAGCTGTGGAAGTGGAAGAATTCTTGATGGGTTGTCTCCGTTTGCGTGGTCAAGCAAGCGCCATGGATGTTGGGAGGATCATCAACGACCAAACTTGGTTGATCAAAACCCAAGGAACCTTAATGGCAAACAGTTTCTTTCAAGCTTTGTGTGCATCTCTTGGTTCTTTGAGCAGGGTCCCCTTTTTGTTTTCAATTTGCGATTTCATGAGGCAAGTTCCACGCCTACATGGAGGTGGAACTGAAACAGATAAAGGAACAACTCTCTGCCCTCACAGGCGCGCAGTTTTGTTTGTGTTGTCGTGTTTGGTCATGTTTGCCATCGTTTGCTTGGCGGAGGTTGCAACAGCATGACCGATGAACACATAGGCTTCATTTTCGCATCGCACAATTTGGGAGACAGTGATGACTCCGATGCCGGCTCTTGTGCTGACGGCCACACCCCAAAGTTGTAGATGATGTTGAATTTCTTTGTTCAGATCCGGATGCTTCAGCTTCGGCGTGCTTGCCGCTGGCTGCTGCGGTGGCAGCGTGCGTGTTCATTGCAAAACCCTGTGCTGTCAGCAGCTGTTTTCAACCGTCCTGGTGACGGGTGCAAACTTCGGAAACAGGCAGGTTGGACTGCCTCGGTTTCACGCTTGGACTTTTGAAGCCTCAGAAAGAGGCATGGTTTTGCAAGTGCGCCAACAGAAGTGCAGTGGACTGCACATTGTGATCCACAGCCTGACCAGTTCTAAAGGAACTTGGCTCTTGCACCTCTGAAAGTGTTTGAAGAAAACGACCATACAAACCGTCCGCAAAGTGGATGTGTTAAGTTTGAAAAGTAGTGCCTGTACTATTGCTGTCGAATGCGTGAAACATGCTTGGGCTCCGTCACAGCGAGCGAGAGACAGACAGAGACCCAAGGTGGCTTGCACATTTGCCAGAGCAAGTTGCTCCTGAACCTGTTGGAATAAGTGTCTTCCTTACAGTCACATCCAAAGTCCAAGGTCATGAGATGGTATGGTATGATTCATGAACGGATTTGTGTCAGGTTGTCCAGCAAGTTGGGGCCGTGAGAAACAGGTCAGGTGGGCATGATCTCGAAAACAGTCCATTAACCGAGTTCCCCTTTCCGAAATTGTCAGCAACATGGACGATGTCAGTGTTGGGGTTCTGGCAAAACATTTCGCTCCACCAGCTCCAAGCGGTCTTTGCGCCCTTGGGGTCAATGAACATCCTGCTATGGAAGAGCATGCAAAGGCAGGGAATGCAAAACACACTTGTAGTTCCTTGCTAGGGAGCCTGGAGCCCGGAAGACTCTTTGCAAACACATAAGGCAAGATAGATAGATAGATAGATAGATAGATAGATAGATATAAATGATATAAATATAGATATAAATTTGGATAGATAGACAGATAGATAGATAGCAGACACACAGAGATGGCTTTCTTTTCCTCACAAACACAAACCGGTCAGAGTGTCACTGTAAACTCTTCTTGAGGGTTTTTGGCTTTCAACATTTTGCAACTATTTCTTTGGATGTTTGGTCTCACATCTCCTTATTCGCCCTGTTTTGTTTGCGGCCTGAATCACAGGCCTTGGGGTTTGGAGCCCTTAGAGCAGAGAATAAAGAAAACAAACACACAAAGCACAGACAGACAGAGATAGAGAGAGAGAGAGAGAGAGTGAGCGAGCGAGCGAGCGAGCGAGCGAGTGAGCGAGGGAGGGAGGGAGGGAGGGAGGGCAAGCGGTGCACACATGAACAAAAGGTATGTGCGCGTCTATCAAGTTGAAGCAGGGATAAGGAGCCCCCAGCCTTGGCAGCAGCTGGCTGCTAGGATGCGAAAAAGAAGGTTCATCAGGTCGCCAGTTCAAAATGTGCAGCAGTCTAGCAAGTTCATCGAAAGGTGTGGCCAAGTCAGCAAAGCCGTGGAGCTACGGAGGCGACTCGTCACAGGTGGATTCAACAGACAAGTATGATTCAGTATGATGTCCAGCAATAAGAAGCACCACATTGAGTTTTGGGTTGTTCGGTGTTGGCTAAACATACGCCAGCTGAGCATCACCGTGTTGAACCTTGTTTCCAGGTCCGCTTGCAAACTGACTGCAGCTTCGGCCCCCGCAATGGTTTGCCAACCTCCTTGGTGCCTTGGTTGAGGAGGATGTTTGCAGGCCCCTAAAAGATGTCACTCATTCATGTATGTTATTGCTCCATTTCTGTGTTCTCTATTACTCTATCACATGGTGCCCCGCCCCCGGGGATAAAGACTAGTCACAACCTTGGATGGTTCCGTAGTGTTTGGCTCTTAGCACCGGTTGATGACCTGCCGTGGGTGTCACAACCGGCTTCGCTTGCCAGTCGGCACATCGGGGCACTGTAACCCCTGCTATCTCGCGGAGAGAGTCCAGCGAGTGGTTCAGACAAGGTATCCTCCCGCTAAGGCCGAGGAGCTCACCCACTATTTGGCAAAGGTTTTGAACACCCTTGAGGCTGACACAGAGGCCTTTGAGAGCGGCCGGACCTCAGGTGTTGTGGACATTGAAGGCTATCTGGTGGAGGTGAGGAAGGTCGAGAAGGCCAAGCTACCACCTAAGTTGGCCGCGGGGGCCCACCCTGGTGAGCGAGATCCTCGAGCATCGTCGGCAAGCGGGGCGAAGAAGGAGAAGGAGCCGGAGGCCACCAACACTCCTGAAAATCCCTCGAGGCATCGACGTCGACGGCGGGAGGAGAAGACAAAGTCAAGAAGCCGGAGCAGAAGACGAGAACGCAAAAAGGTAAAGAAGGAACCTACCCCTGAGCCAGAGGAGGAAGAAGTAGCAACACAAGAAGAGGCCGAAGTGGAGGAAGCCGAGGCAGAAGCAGAGGTTGAGACAGAGGAGAAAGACGACGAAGACATCGAGTCACCTCGCAACGACGAGGCCAGCCCTGATACGGAGGTTGCCATTCGTTGCCGAGGCGTCCTCGTACACCATCCAGGTCACCACCGGGATACCGTGATCGACGACCTCAACCGGCGAAGAAGTGGAAAGGAGTCATGCAAGCACATCATTCGGGGGCAGACCCTGGGATACAGTGAACCCGGACGACGTCCAAAGGGGAAAGGAAAAGGCAAATGGCGCCGAAAATGAGAAGGCCTGCAGCGGCCGCAGGGCCCGATCGACGGAGGCGTGGCATACTTCGACCTGCAGCTCATCACGAAGAAGCGGAAGTCCGGGGCGAAGATACCCTGACATGGGACCCGAGCGTGGGCGATCTGGTGATAGCCGAAGGGGCGCGTCCGCTTCACCGGCCGCATCCTCGAGGACACGAGGGACGCTGCGGGACGACACCTGGCAGTACGGCTTCATGGCACCGATCACGAACCCCTCCTGATGTGGGCCACTGGTGCGACCACCCCGGCCTGCGTACACCTTTGCCCAGAAGGGTGCTCGAGGGAAGCAGAGGGGCCAGGCCTACTGCATTGCAGCGAGCTTCGGAGCGTCAAGACCTTAGAGGAGCTAGTCGGAGTCCCCTGGCGAGACGTGTTGTTGGAGGGTCGACCCAAAGGAGAGGACGAGCTAGCGGGCTTGAGGTCAAAGATGGATGGCATCGGGGGTCCAAGCCCTGGGGCAGTTGCAGCCGCCGCCGAGATCGAGGAGAAGGAGAAGAAGGAGAGGGCCGAGAAGGAGAAAAAGAGAGGAAAAAAGAAGAAGAAGAAAAAGAGAAAGCGAGGCCGGTCATCCCGGTCCAAAAGCGAGGCTTCAAAGAAAGAAAAGGCCAAGAAGAGGAGAACAAAGAGGAGAAAGGACACGGGGAAAAGCCCTGGCAGCTCATCCAGCTCAACGAGCAGTTCATCAAGCATCGAGTTCAAGGCCGTGACTCAGGAGGTGATGTTCCGGGGGTCAGGGATGGACCCGAACGCCCGGATCAGAAGGAAGCAACGTCGTCGAGCCCAACGGTTAGCTCGGCGATCGCAACACACCAAGGACGAGAGCAAGTCGGCATCTTCGGACGACGGGGGAGAGTTGGCCCTGAAGGGAGATCAGGTTTTTGGCGAACCCCAACGAATCCGAGGAATCGCCTTGCAGTTCCCAGGCGTGCTCAGTGCACAGGCAATCGAACAGATGCAGGACCACGGGCCTCACCACCATTCGCTGAATCCAGAACAGGGTTCAACCCCCGATCCCTCAGGGCCTTTGCTGTACTGACTGTATCACGTCCCTGGGCATCCGAAGTCGCTCGCTGCCCCGGCTGTAAATTGCCATTGTCAGGGCACTCCCGCCTGGTTCATAGTGTCATAGCTCCTCTGTCGACTGCCACCTTCTAATCCTTCTTGGGCTTTGCTTTCCCCTTTTTTCCTTTCCCCTTGGCGCCATCGTCTTTTTCTGCTTTTCCTCCCTTGCCTTTGCCCCAGTCCTTCCAGCTTCCTGCTTGATGGGCCTTCACTTCCGCACGATGCTCTGCGGCTGCTATCGAGAGTTCCTGTCTCGACGGAAGGCTGGCTCCGTCTGGAGGCAATAATTCCATCCGCTGGGATGATGTCCACGCAAGGCCGGATGCCTGCGCGACTTCAGCCGCTGAATCAGGGTGTCTAGTGCCCCCGGCACCATGCCCTTCAATAATTGATCTCCTATTGTCGAAAGCGTCAGGGCTTCTCTGCACATCGGACCTGACATTTTGCGGAAGAGAGTTTGTCTGAAGTATCTGAGTGATGTTGCGCTCCAAGGTCCATCCCGTTGCCGATCCTGGCCCAACTCCTGAACCAGATGAAGCGGCAGACATCAGGCCTAGCTGGAGAGGCCTCTTCAGCATACAGCACTACGACCGGGGGAATGCACCCTGGAAAGGCAGAATCGGAGGATGTACCATTCCCTCCACTGCCTCCATGCAGTTTTCCATCGTTTGAGGCCGCAAGTGCACAGCCCGAGGAGACGATGAACCACCCGGGAGGTGACTTGGACGCTTCGGGGCAACGTCGTGTGGCAAGAGGCTTTGGGAGATGGGGGGAGATCTGGTTGGGTTTTTCTGAGGGGTGAAGGGGGGAGAACCTGAACCTTTGAGGGCTAGGTGCACCTTTCCTTTGCCTGCCCGTCGACTCAGATCGCCCACGTACTCGAAGCCGAAGACCCTTGGATCGTTGACTGGGTACTTGCCGCGTGCTTGGGATTGAATTCACTGTGGGGTTGTACAGCCGCCTCACTGCAGGATGGACACCACGAAGTGGAGCCCTGGAAGGTGTCGGAGGTGCACTCCCGCATCCTCCGGTCGATCGCCCGGGACGTGACTGGAGCTCTTTTTTCAGGACGAGGACCATCGATTATAAGGGGGATGAGGTCAAGACAGCGCAGCAATTCGCATGGAAAAACATCAAGCCAGCCATACCCCGCGAGATTGGGGTGGTGGAGTTGAAGGATATCTGTGAACAGGGTTGCAAGCATTACATTGAACATTTTCCAGACTTTCTCAAACCACCCCATGAATGGGAACAGGTGCGCAAAGCAAAGGTAATGGTAACAGACAGAGACTGGTCAGAGGTAGCCGCAGGGCTGCTAGAGGCAGGAATCTTCGGGGTAATCCCTGAATCGGAGGTGTTCCGGGCGCATGGCAAATGATTGCTAAACGGACTGTTTGGAGTTGAGAAACACGAGGAGGTGGAAGGCATCCCTGTCTACCGCCTTATTATGAATTTAGTGCCACTCAATTCCCTATGTCAAGGGCTGCACGGGGACATAGCAACCCTGCCGCATTGGTTTGGGATGACCCCTTTCCATATAGAGCCTCATGAATCGATGGTGGTATCGAGCGAGGATCTACGGTGTTTCTTTTACACTCTGCGCCTGCCCAGCTGCTGGTACCCGTTCTTGTGTTTCAACAAGGCCTTGCCGCCAGATTTGGTGCCTCCAGATCTTCGGGGTCAAACTTGCCATTCCTGTTCGAAGGTTTTACCCATGGGATTCGTGAACAGTGTGGGCATAGCACAACATGTCCACAGAGTCCTGGCGTTGCGGTCACAGGTTCACAATCAGGTTCGAAACAGCCAGATGCATGAGATTCGGAAGGATAGAATCCTACCTGAAGGTAAGGCAGTGTGGCGTGTATACTTGGACAACTATGACTTGCTTGAGAAGTATCCTCGTGAGGTGTTGGGTGAGCTAGGTGTGGAGGTCGCTCCAGAGGTGAAAGCCCTGAGGCAGGAGTACCAGGAGTGGGGACTGCCCCGCCATCCCGGAAAGGCCGTGAGCAGAAAAGCGCTCGCCGAGGTGCAAGGCGCAGTCCTGGACGGTGAACGGGGCATTGCTTACCCAAAGGGACAGAAGTTGTCGAAATACATCACGATCGCCTACCAGTTGGTGAATGAATATTTGTTCGCAACGGCAGATGCAAGTTGTGTGCGGTGGCCTGGTTTATTTCTCTACGTTCCGTCGTCAACTCCTCGGAGGGCTGAACCTCTGTTGGACCTTTATTGAATCCTTCAATACTTGTGGACGCCGCCGGCAACTCATCCCAAGTGGAGTCAAACATGGAGATCGTCCGCTTCCTCTGCCTTGTACCTCTGCGCCGCATGGATTTCCGGCTGAATTTGAACCCGAAGGTCACGTGCAGTGATGCCTCACAGCATGGCGGAGGTGTCTGCGTGGCCACAAGTCTCACCACCTACGGGGAGAAGGTAGCCCTGGGAGAAGAGCGTCGGGACATGGTGGCCGGTGGAGGTCAGCGGATCTTGAGCAATTGGGCTATTCGACGGCATAGGGTGCCTGCGGGTCGCCTTGGATCTGTTGGGCTGTGACGTGATAGGACACATCTGCGTCGAAAAGGACATCGCGGGGCGGAGAGTGGTAGAGCACCACTTCCCAGACAGTTGGCATTACGAGGACGTCGCCGAGATCAAGGAGGAGGACGTGCAGAAATGGGCACTGCGCTATAGCCAAGCTTCCCTGATTCTCATTGGCGCTGGGCCACCGTGCCAGGGCGTCTCGGGGCTCAACAGTCAGCGCAAGGGGGCGCTCCGGGATGAGCGGTCTTCGCTCTTCGTTCATGTCAAGCGTTTGCGCCTCATGGTACAACAGTGTTTTACATGGGGGCAGGTACATTGCTTGATGGAGAGTGTCGCCTCGATGGATGATCGGGACAAGAACATCATGTCGGAATCATTCGGGGATCATCCCTGACAGATTGATGCAGGCACCCTCTGCTGGTGTAGCAGGCCGCGGCTCTACTGGACCAGTTGGGAGTTAAGCCCGGAGGGTGAAGATGTGGAAATTGCAGGCAGGCACGTGACTTTGACGGGGCATCAGCCCTGGACGACATCAGTCGAAGCTGGTTGGACTAAGGTTGACGAAGACAGGCCTTTTCCTACGTTTACTACATCAAGGCCAAGGACAACTCGGGGGCACCGCCCTGCGGGATTGGATTCCTGCGATGGGAGTACTATCACCCGTTGGGAGGAGGACCTCCACCGGTTCCCACCATACCAATACATCCCACGCAACTGTTTGGTCAGCAAACGTGGTGAGTACAGGCTGCCCAATATTCGTGAAAGGGAGTACATGATGGGACTACCAGTAGGTTACACACAGATGTGCATGCCTAAGTATATGAGAAAGCACGTCGACTACCATGACAAGCGGCTCACCCTGGTCGGCAATGCTTGGGCAGTGCCAGTGGTTGCATGGCCTATTGGACAACTAGTGGGACCCCGCGTCGCCGGCGGAGATTCTCTCGAGGCTCACCTTGGAGGGAAATCCCTTTATACAGTCTCGACTGATGCGCCCACCTCTTCAAACAGAGCAACAGGCCAGCACGGTTCCGGAGAAGGCTCTGGTACAACAGTTGGGACGTCTGGTCTCCACCAAGGGATCAGATTTGATGATTACAGCGGCGCAGGACGAAATGCAGAGTTACCAGCGGCTGCGACACACCATCAATGCAAAGATGTGGCGCTGGAAGGTTGTCTCAGGTTGGAAATGGCGTAGCCAAGGGGAGCATATCAACTCGTTGGAGTTACGGGCTATCTTGGCATGCCTTCGATGGAGATGCGAGCACCTAGGCGAGTATGACACCCGCATCCTGCACCTCACTGACTCGTTGGTATGCCTTCACAGCCTCACCCGTGGACGCACCTCTTCCCGCCGTTTACGCAGAACCCTTTGCCGGATCAATTCGCTTCTATTGGCGCGCAACGTTGGAGCCCTTTGGGGCTATGTGCATACTGACCTCAACCCGGCGGATAAACCGTCGCGGTGGTCAGTGAGGACCAATTTTAAGCATGCCAAAGCCCGTACTTGAGGGTACCACTCAAGCCAGTAGAGCGAAAGAAAGGCAAAGGCTAGGAAGTTTGCGAGGACTCACCGTCCAACCCGCCACACGCGTTCGGTATGATCGTGCCTTGAACCGTTTCCTTCAAAACAGGAGGGTTTGGAATTGCCCAGTCGTCGCAGTTTGTTAGATCCGCTGGTCATGGAATACATAGAACATCTCTGGCGCACCGGGGAGGGGCGTGGTCTGGCCGCCGATAGCCTGGCGTCGTTACAAGATTTCGACGCTAAAATACGGGGGCAACTCCCTGGAGCCTGGCGCCTGGTGACATGGGTCACGCATGAACTGCCCAATCGGGCACCGCCCATGCCTGAGAGCATCCTCCATGCCATGGTGGGCTGGGGATTGTACCACCAGCAATTCTCTTTTGCAACCAGCCTCCTTCTGTGTTTTTACGGCATTTACGCACTGGCGAGCTACTGGATGTTACCAAACGGAGGGTTGACATTTCAGACAGCTTGAGAGTAGCCGTGGTCAGTCTCGGCGTGACCAAAGCTGGGAAGAGAGCCGGTGTCCAAGAGAGCGTCACCGTAGGGCATGACACTGCTTTTAGGTATTTGCAGCAATGGTGTTTTCTGGCAACCACCCACCAACGTCTCTGTCCGCCAGCAGCACGCTGGCGCAAACTGTTTAAAACATGTCTCGAAGCTTTGCGCCTAGAACCCCTTGACCTCCGACCGTACTCCCTTCGTAGGGGGGGGGGCCACATGGTGGTTCTGCCAGCATGGGAACCTAGATCGGGTAATGCTTCTAGGTCGATGGCAGGCCCAAAAAACGGCCCGTTTATACCTAAATGAGTCCAGAGCAGTCCTGACTGAGATGCAGCTAGGTCCTTTTGAGCACTTTTTAGCACCTGACAGCAAGTTTTTTCGGAATTCCACCCCCAAGTCATTTGAAACACTTGAGCCGCTGCAAAGCAGCAGGCCGCCCGCCGGAACTCGGCGGCTCGGGGGACGTGGAAAGAAAGGGAAGAAATCCCTTAAACGACCTTCCAGAAGCTCGAGATGAGCGCAAAAAGGGTCGCACTTTAAGTTCCCCAAAACCTGGCCAGGGTCTGGGGTCTGGCCCGCCTGGTTGGGGGGGACAGGGTTACCCGGGTACGTCCCCTTCTTTGAGTAGTGGACCGAAGAGGGGGGGGGTAACCAACCCGGTCTTTCTTTTTTCGTGTATCATTTC